ACGACGACGACGACCGGCCGGCCAGCCGGCCGACCGGCCGGGACCGGGGCCGACGGCGCAAATGGCGTCCATCGACGCCTCTGGCTTCGGCCCTGCGTCCCCGGGGTAAGACCAGGCGTCCCCGGCGTCGTAGCGACCGTAATTGTACTTTTCCCGATTAACGACCGGTCTGCCTCGCTTATTGGGAAGTTGACTCCACGTGCAGAGCATGTCCTTGGCTGTCGCTACGTGAACGGAAGTGGCACGGAAGTCGACCTCGGCAAAGCCAGATACTGGTTCGAGCGCGCCGCTGCCAAGGGCGACGAGACAGCTACAAGGAACCTCGCGATCCTCGACGCGCACGAGCACAAGACGGAGATCAAGCGCCCCGACGACACCATCGGCGACGCGTCAGTATAGTCTAATTCTTTTACGCCGCGTCGTCGCTCGAGCCCGAGCTGATGTGCCTCGCGCGCCTGCGAGTCGTGCTTGGCCTTGGCGTGGTCGTCGCCGCGTTCCTCTCCGCGCCGACCTTCGCGGTCTGGTGGTGCCTCACGTTCCTGAATGCCAAGCCCGCCTGGCGCAAGGATGACGACGCCGCGGCCCGCTCGGGGAGGCCGCCGCCCGTCTCGAGAACCACGAGACGCGACCGCCGAGTGTGGAGAGCGTGCTTGGCCGAGAGTCGGCGGCGCGAGGGGGCGCGGAAGAGGCGATTCGTGAGGGGCGTCGAGAAGTGCATAGTTGCCGGCCTCGTGTTGAGCTCTCTGATCGAGCTCTGCATCTGAGAGATCTCGACGAAGCCCTCGACCCCCCGCGAGCCCCCCTGACGTTCCTGGCCTTCACACGAGTCGCAGAGCATCTTGCCTCGACTCGAGCTCTGCGATCTGAGACCTGAGACCCTGAGCATCATGTCGTCCGAGTCCCCCACGCGCACGAGCGATTCCAGCCGCCGCCCGTCGGTCGAGGAGAAGCAGTCGGGCGCGGAGGTGGCCCCCGAGGACGAGTACGTCGAGCTCGGCGAGATGGAGGAGGAGTCGGCCGCCGACGCCGAGTCCGAGGACAAGGTGCGCGTCGACGTCGACGCGAAGCCCGGCCTGAGCCGCTTCAAACTCGCGGCGCTCCGCGTCATGCGGGAGAACGCCGTCGCGAAGCGCCTCGCCATGTTCAAGGCGCTCCGCGCGACGGACATGACGAGCTCCTACGCGGCGGAGTACACGGGCGCGGTCGAGGCCAAGACCGTCGCGTTCCACGCGCCTCGAGCGCGGCGCGGGCCTCGAGCTCTTCTACACCAAGGGCAAGCGCCTGCCCGGGTCCTACGCCAACGTCAAGGGCAGGGCGACGTCCGTCGGCGACGCGCGGCTCCGCGTCGTCATGCACGCGGGCCACGGCCTCGTCTGGTGGCGCGGCCACAAGTTCGGCCCCGTCAAGGCGTTCCGCACGCGGGGCATCACGCACTGCTTCGCCGTCGAGGACATCCTCCAGGTGGGCCTCCTCCAGGGCGACAAGAAGGGCCTGTCGTTCTTCGTGAAGCTCAAGCGGCCCGCGTCCGTCGTCACGTGGCACGGCGGCCGCCACGTCAAAGACTCCGAGGCCTTCGAGCCCTTCTCGCTCGTCTTCTCGGCGCAGACGCGGGCGACGGCGTCCATCTTCATGGGCGGCTTCGAGCTGCTGCGCCGCCACCACACGCAGCTCTTCCACGAGGACGACGAGGTCGACGAGGCCGACGCGTACTCGCTCGCGCCGCAGGCGACGCCGTCGGGCCTCTCGGAGGAGCCGACGCTCGTCGAGACGGCGACGGCGTCGCTGCGCGCCGCCGCGGGCCTCAAGCCCCGGAAGTCCCTCGTCATCAACGGCAAGATCAAGGCCACGGACCTCCAGTCGTCGAAGACGGCGTCGTTCGCGGGCGCGGCGCCGCTCGGGCGGCCGTCGATCCACGCCTTCACGCGGGGCGGGGTCCCCGCGGGGACGGCGCGCCGCGCGTCGGACGCCAAGGCCGTGCCCGCGCACGTGCTCCCGAGCCACTTCTCCATCGTGAGTTCGTTCTTCGAGCCGCACCGCGACCCGACGCACCAGCACTACCACCAGGACATCCAGGCGCGCATCGTCGAGGTCTACTACGAGGCCTTCGTCGAGGACCCGGACCTCGACCTCCTCCAGCAGCCCAAGATCCGCCTCCCGAACGGCAACCGCTTCCGCCTCCCGACGGAGCACTTCTGCGAGGGCGTCTGGTGCACCGCGACGGTCTCGCGTGCAAATCAAATCTTCAACCCGACGTCAATGTGCGCGTACGCGACCGTTTCGACGCAAGCTTTTCTGCAGTGCTTCGAGAACTCGCTGAGAGCAATCGATCCGTCCAAAAATCAGCCGAATCGACGTCGATGTGACCGAGCTAGAGCATTCTCAAGTTTGGCCCCGACGTCCCAGCTCACCGGTTGATTTGCACACAGGCGACGGTGGACCCGAACGGCTACGACGAGGACAGGAACACCTACACGCTCATCTACCACGAGGGCCCCTTCGAGAACCGGAAGGGCACGGTCATCAAGATCGCGGGCTTCCCCCAGGGCACCATGTTCGAGAAGGTGCCGCGCGAGCACATCTTCGTCGACATCTTCGACCAGCCGTCCAAGGGCAAGCCCTACTTCACGCTCGGCGCCACCTTCGTCCAGGTGCTCCTCTACGCGTTGTGGACCTACACGCCCGCGTCCCGGGGCCCCCACGGCGGCCCGTCGACGCTCGCGCTCGACGTCGTGTCCGCGTGGCCCGACTGCGAGGACCAGCGGTCCGAGGTCTGGCGCTACTGGGGCTACCAGTTCGTCCACGGGTCCAACGCCCACATCACCTTCAACGCCCTCGTCCAGATGGCCACGGGCATCCCCCTCGAGCTCGCGCACGGCTCGTTCCTCGTCGGCTTGGTCTACAATTTGGGCGTCGTCGTCGGCGCGCTCTCGGTCATGTTCAGCGACCCGACGACGCTCGTCGTCGGCGCGTCGGGGGGCGTCTACTGCCTCTTCGGCGCCCACTTCGGCCACACGTGCCTCAACTTCCACGAGCTCCACCGCGGCATCTTCAACCGGTGGACGCGCTTCGGCCTCCTCGGCGCGTTCGTCGCCATCGACTCCTACCTCGCCTACCAGGACCTCCGCGAGAACAAGAACGACGCCTCCACGTCCTACAGCGCCCACATCGGCGGCTTCATCGCGGGCATCGGCTTCAGCTCGCTCTGCTTCCACGAGCTCGTCGAGCACTCCTTCGTCGAGGAGGCCGTGCGCTTCGGCTCCGCGCTCGTCGTCGTCGTCCTCGCCGTCTACCTCGCCATCAACGCGGCGGTCATGGACCCCATCAAGGGCATCCACACGCCCGTGCGCTCCGAGGTCTACTGCTGCTACCAGACCGCGTACTGCTCGGGCTTCTCCAAGTCCGACAACGACCTCTTCTCGTGCTCCTCCACAAGTACATCGTCTGGCCCGACCCGGCGCTCGGCGGCTACGGCTGGCGCCAGCCGGACACCACCTTCTCCTGCGACCAGCTCGTCGACTGGGCCGCCGGCGACTCGGCCCCGACCGCGAACTAGGCGCGCGAGCCGCGCGGAGATCCCCCCCCCCCAAGCACCACGCCCCCGACCCCTCTCGTGTCCGCATCGATCGGCGCCCCCTTCCCTCGCCAAAACTACTTAAAAATACCACTTTGCCATGTTGCATATTCAATGTTGAACGATGCCGCTCTCAAAACGAGCATTCAAAAGTCTGAGAGCGGCGCCGCGCACCCGAAAGCGCCGCCGCCGCTGCGTCGCCGCGGCCGAACCGACGCCGTCGTCGCTCGACGCACGAGACCGGCACGCCCTCGCGCCGCGCACCTCGAATCAGCGCTGACCGCCGCCGCGCGCCGCACGCACATGGCGCTCTCCAAGCGCGACGAGATCGAGCTCCGCGGCGAGCTCGCGAGCCTGAGCTACGACCTGCCGCTCGGGTCGACGTCGCTGGTCAAGGCGCTCGTCGACGACCTGCAGAGCACGACGCAGGCCTACAGCTCGCTCCAGGCGCAGGAGGAGACGCTCTCGGGCGAGCTGAGCTCGCTGCAGGGCGTCGTCGTGCCGCTGCGCAAGGAGAACGCGCGGCTCGTGCGCGAGAGCAACGCGCTCCACGGCGAGCTGCTGCGCAAGGCCGAGCAGCACTTCGACGCCGACGCCGCGGAGCGCGACGCGCACGTGTCGACGCGGCGCGCGCTCACGGAGGCGCGCTACCTGCTCAAGAAGCACAAGATCCCGTTCGGGTACGACGAGGGCGCCGCGGGCGCCGAGGTCGGCGCGGACGAGGACGCGGACGCCGCGGCGCTGCGTCTGCGGGTCGGCGAGCTCGAGGCGCGGCGCGCGGACGACGAGAAGGTCCGGGACCGCCTCGTCTTCCTCGCGGAGGAGCGCGAGAAGGAGCTCGCGCGGCTCAACGGCCTCGTCGCCTCCGGCGCGACGGCGACGGCCGGGTCGGCGTCGGCGCTCGCGGAGAACGAGCGCGTCGTCGCGGCGCTCCGGCGCGAGGTCGACGCGCTCAACGCGCAGGTCTCGGAGCGCGACGGCGTCGTCGCGGGCCTCAGGGGCTGCCAGGACGACGTCGGCGCGCTGCGCACGGCCCTCGCGGCGGCGCGCGACGAGATCGCCGAGGCGCGCGCGGCGACGCGGGACCGCGAGGCCGCGGACGGCGAGCGTTTGCAAAAACTGGCGGCGGACGCCGCGGACTCGCGCGCGGACGCGGAGGACGGCGAGGACCGGGCGGCGCGCTGCGAGGCGCGCGCCGCGCGCGCGGAGCACGCGCTCCATCGGGCGAAGCTCGCGCTCGCGGCCGCGGCCGCGCGCGTCGCGCCGCCGCCGCCGCCGCCGCCGGGGCCCGCGGCCGCCGCGGCCGCGGCGCCGCCCGCGGCGGCCGCCGCGCTCGCCGCGGAGCGCGAGGCCTGGGCCGACGCGCTGGCGTCGGCCGTCGACGAGCTCGACGCCGCGCGCGCCGTCGAGGCCGCGGCCGACGGCGCGACGCGCGACGAGGCCGCCGCGGCCTACGCGAAGGAGCTCGCGGACGTCTCCTAGGCCGCGC